ATACCCCAATAACCGAACTTGTTCAAAATCCACTGAAAACCGACTAACCGGCCGGTTGAAATTTTAAAATGTTGTTAACAAGATTTGAACTTAAGACCTCTTATTTTTACAGATTACTTAATTACCACCAATTCACCTCTTTACTTATATTAATTAACGACTAATTATTATACATATTACATTATTATGCATGCATTTAAAAAAAATGTAAGTTAAAAGGCTTGAACCCTAATCATTAATTTGTTTTAAAAATTAAGGATTTTGCGAGGTTTAGAAAATCGGACCAGACCGGCCGGTTGAATCGTGACTTGGGGCCCTGACCGGTTCGGTCATACCCCAACAACCAAACTTGTTCAAAATCCACTGAAAACCGGCTAACCGGCCGGTTGAAATTTTAAAATGTTGTTAACAAGATTTGAACTTAAGACCTCTTATTTTCACAGATTACTTAATTACCGCAAATTCACCTCTTTACTTATATTAATTAATGACTAATTATTATACATATTACATTATTATGCACGTATTTTAAAAAAAAATGTAAGTTAAAAGGCTTGAACCCTAATCATTAATTTGTTTTAAAAATTAAGAAACTTATTATCCATCCACCATATTTAACTATATTAAAATTTATAAAATATATTATATATAGTATTTATATAACCCATAGTATATATATATATATACCACATCATCATGATTCGACCCTGATTGAACCTCTAACCTGTAAACCTCTCCCCTCTGGTTCTCTGAACATTTATAAACCTTGCTACATTCAAATTTCAAACTTAGCAAACCGTGAGGTTAAAGGGCCCATTAGCTTGGGCGGCAACATGTAGGCTCCCCTTGTTGCTGGCAAAAGGGCCCATTATCCATTCCCAAATATCCAGTAGTAGTAGTAGTAATACCTTTCTTCATTAATTATTACTGAAGTCTGGTAACGCCCATCGTTTAAGGCTTTGCCTTCACTAATTAAATAGATAATTAGTTAATTTATTTCCAAATTTTAAGAAATTAATATAAACTACCAGCTTAAAATCTTATATTAATCTATCTTTCACTTCTGCTATTACTTGCTAAGGCATGGTAGTTTATATTGAAATAGAAATGTCATATTCAACTAAATGAAGGGTCTTTTTCTGTCTATTTTTGTGACAAAACAAGAGAGTATATCATCCTCAATCTTTATCTGCATGATGTTGGTTGGGTACCCTCAGCCCTCAGGCCCCAATAATTTTCTAATTTCTGCATTTAATTTGTGGCCGGAATTCATTATGTTAATTTTGGCAGGCTTCAAGATAGATCCCGTTAGTTCTTTTTAATAATTTGATGGTTTTCATGTTTTTTTTAAACCTAAAGATAGATTGAGGAGGTGTTTGGCAAGTTTTTTGTGTGGTCTTTTAGACTTTTCAAAGTTTGAAAGATCAAAGCTTCATTTGACAATGAAAGACAAAAAACTGGAAAGGCTTATGCCCTAAAAACTCGTGAAAGTCTAAAATGACCAAAAATCTGGAAGCTTCAAACAAAACTTTCTGTCTTTCCATGCCTAAAATCTTTCATTGAACAGCTTAATATGATAAGGTAGAATACTTACCAAACGGTCTAAATCTTTAAAGACAGGACCCAACAAAACCTCATTATATCTTTTAGCTATTTAAACTATCAAAAGATCTTCCTAAAAAACACTTAGCAAACGACACCTAAATGAACCTCATTAAATAATATTCAAAGTACAACCAAAAATATCAACAATAAAAACACAACCAGAAGACTGAACATGAATAATAAAGGGTTGAACCATAAGAAACAGACAGATATAAAATCTATTTGACAAAACAGTAAATCCAAACTACTAGACATCTTGCGAGACGTCCAAATCATCAATAAAACGCAAACAATGAAGGACAAATAAAATGAAAGTTGTGATTTAATTATTCTATCAACCGTTGATAGAGAGCCATTGGGGTTAAAAAGTGAACGTTGTGATTTTTCCAAAATTAATAAATTAAATGCCTATAACTTGAGTGAGTAGGCCGAATTTGTTGCTATTAGCTAGACGTCAACGATGAACACATTTGCAATTATAAATAATTCTGGACTAAATGATTAGAGATTTTTTCTATTTTTCATTCTTTTTTCCGCACTGAAGGTGAAAGCAAAATTAAGACCCCAATTTTATTAATAGACATAGGGCCACAAATAATGTGAGAATAGAGGGATAAGCATGGAATCTAAAGAGCAGACAAGAGATTGTTACAAATTGGTCAATATAGATGGAAAGATGGATGTTTACACATTTGTCAAGACATAAGTGCACAGGTGCAAAACGCCAGTTCGAAGTTTGTACATAATAAATACATCAGACAGGTTCATTAATTCACATTTCACACTGTAATAGTAGTACCATGACAGAGAGAGAGAGAGTCTGGAATTTTTAATCGGCTGAGAGCTGAGGGTGTGAATTAATCTGGTTGTCGCCCTTTTCTTCTGTTGACCAATTCTCTGATAAGTAAGCCCAAAATAAGGCTTCTATTATAGTGGATAGTGGATAGTAATGCATTGTGCATTCCTTGGACAACCTGGACGTTAATTAGACTTTCGCCAATGTGAATGGATCTGATTGACGTGTTTCTGACATAAAATTAAACAACTGCCATGTCAGCATGAATGCATTGTTTTTTGCTGAGATGGCATTTGGTTTTGCTTTACATTGACCAATACCCCACTTGGGCCTTGGTTGTTGAATAGAAGACGTGTAGTTGTGTTCCTTTTATTGATTTAATTTTGAATATATTAATACTAAATTACCCATTTCCCTACATTAGTTGTGAACACAATGCAGATTCCAAGCTTGATATACTAAGCGTAACCGTCTCAACCACCTGGAAAACCTTAGAGAGAGTTGAAGGAATTACGATTTTGAGTAACGTAATTGAAAAGTTATATGATTTAGCATTAGCAGCCTGTTAGCTATTGATCAAATATAAATTTTTATAATTTTATATTATGTGGAATACGCACATCGGCGAAACAAAGATTAGATTTATGCCATGGTTTATCAAAAACAGGAAGTGAAATCAATGGCCACACCCTTTTTTTTTTCATTCATGCCAATTGCCAAAGACTGGATTAGCTTTAACTCCAAATCAAATTTGTTCTCGGGGATGCCAATTGCCAAAGACTAGATTAGTTATAAATCTTGACCTGTTGTACTTTGTGAATAAAAGTTGTAAATCTAGAAAAAAAATTGACACCCAAAAAGGTCAAAACCGAACCAAAACACACTGCATCGATCCCACCGTCATATCTCCTCTCCTCTCCTCTACTCTACTCAAGTCTTGAATGCATAATGTCCATGACATCGCCTGCAGGCCCACTAGAGGCCCAGATTACCCGACATTTGGATGCTCATCACGTGCCCGTGCCCAGGCCCAGGCCCCTGTCGTTCCAAGTTCTCAATACAACCAGAACGCAATTAATACATGTAGACCACGTTGAATGAGTCGTCTGTTTGTGTTAATTAACTCGGAAACACTAGGGTCCAGGGTGTTTGGAGAGAGAGTCTCGACCTTAACGCCAATATTATATTTCGAGGGAGTAAAGTAAACTCTGTAATCTTTCATAGTCTCATCATCGTGCACAGTTACACACAAACTAAAACTGAATCACCAAAACCAACTTATCCTCTTCTCCCTCCAAAGGCCAAAGACGTTAAGTAAATTATATAGATTTGCCTCTCTAGAAATTTCAGCAGAAACTGATAACGGCTTTCTTTTTGTGAGCAAAGTAAAACCACTATGAAGTATGAATGATGAACCCCCCTCCTTAGTCCGTCCTTACCATTGTAGCTACTAGCTGTATCTGATTCCAATTTTATTTTGTTGGAGAATCACCATCACTCTCGTGAGTCATCCACCGACCTCTATTAAGTGATCATGTGTTCACTTTACAATTCAGAGAGAACAAAAATAAAGAAAAAGGGAAAAAGAGAAAGAGAAAGACACGATTGATTTCTCACTTTCCTTTTAACTCATACGATTCCCTTGAAAATCATAACATGCTATGGCCAGGAATGAAATTTATGTACGTATCGTCATCGTCAATGTTTGGGTGGGTGGGTTTGTCGATCTCCCTTCCCTCCCCTCAAGCCTCAAGCCTCAAGCCTCAGGCAAACAAAGTATAGAAAGAAAGAAAAATTAAGGAAAAACACAGAAAGTAAAAAAAGTAAAGGAGGGAAGAGAACCTTCTCAAAACTCCAAATTTACACCGTCAACAGATTCAAGTTGTTGTTTTTTTTTTTTATATGTATCAAATTCAATCACCAACTTCAAGCCCTGAAACAGCCAACATGATTATGGTGGTGGTGGTGGAAGGACTTCTCCTTGTCGATGATGCCCTGAACGTAGCGAAACTCCTCGACGTGGCAAGGGATGGTGATGGTGCCCTTCTGATCAAACCCGTACTCATCCTCCGCTTCCTTCAACAACTGCATGAACAGTGGGTGATTGAAGTAGAAGATGGGAATCACGAACCTCTGCTGCTCTTCACCTTGACCCACCATGATCGCTAGATAGCCCTTCGGAATATCTCTCATCTCCTTCTTCCCAGTCCCCCCATGATTAAGATGGGGTAAATGTAGATGAAAGTTTAAGAGGTGTTTGTCTCCGCCACCCATCTTCCAACTCCAGAACACAAGGCGGAACCCTATTTTTCGTTCTTTTTGGTCACCGATCAATCTGATATTACAACAAAACAAGAGAGAAAGGCCAGAGGTCAGACGCTGAGATGGCTAGCTTGAAGAGGGTTAGAGAACAATCTCGCAAAGACCTAGGAATGTTGCTCATGATCGACTGGCTTCAAAGGTTAAACGCATACGAACCAGAGCGATAGTACTAAAGGAGAGATTTCGGCAAGTTTAGTTTGGCTAGAAAAGACATACGGGGGCAAGGTGGTTTGATTTTTATATAGAGAATAAGAAAAGACTTCCTCCCAGAGGAGAGAGAGAGAGAGAGTATACAAGAGGAGAAGGATTTCTTTTTTCCTTGCTTTGTATACACACAAAATAGAAAAAGCAAAAAAAGAATAAAAAAAATCGGCTCCTAATCCACCAGTAGGGTGGAAATTGTAATGGAGATTTTTATTTTGAAAAGCAATTAAACAAAAATTGGAACGGAGAATGGGATAATCGTAAATTCGTAATCCAATTGCCGGCGAAGAGTTGGAGAGGGTTACGTATAACTGCTTTAAGCCTTTAATTTAATTTCGAAACCGAAACAGAAACTAAACGATGCTTCTCAACAAATGTCTTGTCCTCCCAACCTAGGTGGTAAAATCGTAGATTCGAGTTTTTATTGTTGATATAAAACGTGGAGACGTAGTGGTTGAGTGACGTGACACGTGTCAAGTAGACTCCAGGATCCAACCAACAATGAATTGCGTTCACAGGTAAGCATTGTGGGGGACATCCAATAGCAGGTCTGGAACATGTCCAGGTAGACATCAACGTGTCACGTCAGCCTTGTTTTTTTATATAATTTATTCTTTTGTTTGATAATTACAAGAGAGAGAGAGAGAGACTTAATTGCTTAAGTCTTAACCGCTTAAGCCAGTCTTTCCTTGGTCTTCTTCTGCCGTAATTCGTGAAGCATAAGCATGTCAGATCAGCTGAAATTGGGTGAATAAAATCAAAATCAGGTTCTGAATACCAAAACTGACATCAATTAAAGATCCATTAATCTCAGAGTGCCTGATAAGAGAAGGAAAATAAGAAGATTGGGTGGATGGATTGTGATGTGATAAATTGATAATGGTGTGTTGTATACAGAATAGAAACGGTACTTCTTAAGGAAAACAGCCTTTAAGACGATGGCCCACATCTCGGATTGTCTCCGACACTGTCTTTAAGTAGAGAATGGACTTTTCCAAGCGTCAGATCGATCTAGCCCCAGATTTGTGTATCATCTCCTCTCAAATTAAAAAAAAAAAAGATATATCATCATTTCTTGCTATTGTTGTGTTTTGTCCAAAAATAAACCAAGACCATTGAAATGGAACCGTTGGGTAGGTTTACTGGTGTAATAGTCTTTTTCAATGTTCATCAAAGAAAATTTAGAATTTCGGTATTCTAAATTGAAAAATAAATATTTATCATGGAGATTAGGAAAATAATAAGATTTAGGATAAATTACAAACTGCCACCTTACATTTTATTTTGAGAAAAATTTCGATAAATACTCTGTAATTTAGGCCTAGTGCCAATTTAGTATCTAAATTTTAAAATGTGAAATCTAATACTCGAATATTCAATTTGCGATAATCCGCGTTAACTCATCATCAGTCAGTGCCATCATGTGAGATCAGGTGTGGTTTAAATAGTTTCATAATGTCAAAACTAACTTTTATGGTAATATTTCATCCTTTTCCTTTGTTTTTATCAAGGTTTTTAAAATTGATTTGGACAATGAACCGGTCAAGGGTCCAGTTTTCGGGTTGAACGGTCCGTTCTAACAAAAAAATTATAAAATAAAAAACAAAAAACTGGCCAAGCTGTTGAACAGTTCAAACGCCGGGATCAACGGTCTGCTGACCAAATCAATGGTTTTGAAAGAAAAACAGTTCTGGGGTAAAACGGAATTGGTCATTTAACCGGTTCCCAGTTTTTTGATCCGATCGTCCGATCTGATCCGATTTTAAAAACCATGCTTTTTACCCTATTCGCCTTTCTCTTCAATCTGGGTTGGGTTGAAGGAAAGAGAGAAGAGAGAAGAGAGAAGAGAGGAGACTGAATGATCGTTATGCTATTCCGAGCACATGCAGGTGGTAAAGTGGTAAGCTTCAATCAACACCAACCGTTTATTGACAAAGAAGGTGGTAAGCTTATCCCATTCTATCCCTTTTTCCTTCAAACTGGGTTGAAGGAAGGGAGGAGGGATTCTGGATCTCCTACCCACGAGGATTTTACTCATATTTACCCACAGCACACTACTCTGTGAACTGGGAATATCTACCTCTGCAAAATATTATGTAGGAGGATGAAATATTCTCCATGTTTAACTGGGATGAAACTATTGGGCAGAATTTGTGTGTGCAGGATGAAGATCTAAATGAGGTTATTTGTTTGACAACGCTCCCATGCATTCCTATATTGTATTAATTAATTGAAGTCGGTCCGTCTCTGAACTCCAAAAATGTAATGGCCGTGGTTGGTTGAAAAAACGTAAATGCCGTAATGAAACAACGTTAGCTCCCATCAATGGGTTTTGTTACGTGCCTTAGGAGAATTAAAAGTCAGCTGTTAGGGAAATCTTTACAAACATTGTAGGTTTTTCTATCTTTTCCTTCTTTTTCTTATTTTTTCCTTCAATCAAACATAGTTTAAAAGTTAGCTGTTAGAGAGAGGGAACTCAAGTACATATATACCCTATAACAGCATTCCATATTATCGATGTGGGATACCTCATATTAGCATCTCATATTACCAATATGGGACAAATGGATCATGACATTCCATCACACTTCGCAGTCTTGGTGCTCACGCAAGCTGGCTTTGCACTAGTTTACCTAATCCCGATTGAACACTGCAATACCGACGTCACCACCTATACCACACGATTGCAACTGGGAGGCATAGTGTAAGCAGGGGCAGAGCAAGAGTTTTTTCTTGAGGAGGAAACATAAGTAAATGGTCAAAATATAAGTGGGATTTAAATGTGTTTTATTGAAATTTTGAAGGCATAGGGGGGGCCATGGCTCCCCTCCGTCACTCCCTGGCTCCGCCCCTGAGTGTAAGGCTCTGATACCATTTGTTATGTGCCTAGGATAACTTACCCCTAAAAGCTTGCTGTTAGAGGAAGGGAACCCAAGCACATATATATCGATGTGGGATACCTCACATTAATATCCCATACTACCAACATGGAACAAATGGATCGTAACAGGTTTCTCTTCAAAACATATGCCATTCATCCATCTTGGTCATATCAAACCATGTCTACAACATAAGGGAATAAAAAATAATAAAAAATCACAACCCTAAAAAATATTGCATCAAATCAACCAAAAATTGATGTAATATAATGACAGTAGAAAAGCATAGAAAATGATAGAAAATAGCAAAAAAAGAAAAACCTGATTGCCTCCTTCGGCGTCGGCAACAAGAGATCGTTTTCTATAGAAATGATTGAGTTGAAAGCAAGGGGTACTAGAAGTAGATGTGATTTGTTCTTGCGGTTTCTTCCAAAATACATGGAGAAGATCTTTGTACGACGTTGTCTAGTGTGTGACTCGCCAATTTCAACTTTTTTGGCATCGTCTTCTGCTTGACGTCACCGGTGGTAGGGACTCGTTTCTTCAGAACTTCAGGTCATAGAGTGGGTGAACAGTGGTTCCCACTTGTAGAGAAAGGATGTTATAGTTGGGGTTATTTTTGTCATTTCAAAAAATAATTCATACATTGGTCAAAACCGTAGGTGGGATGTTATGTCTTTTTGCATTTTGATTGACACTGAGTTAATGCCAGGTACTGGATTGTCACAAATTGACAATTTGGATACTAGAATGTCACGTTTTAAAGTCCGGGTACTAGATTGGCATTAGGCCTAAAGTACAAGGTGCTTATTGGGATTTTTACTTGTATTTTCTATGTTTCTTCTTTTCCTTTGTGATATGTTTTGTATTTTATTTTATTTTGTCATAGGTATGGAAATTTTGTAGAAATTTTTGGATACTAGCCCAACCCTTTTTAACCATAATAGAACATGTTTATCAAAACAAACCCTATAGGGTTGGGGACGGGTTTAGGTTTTGAACTTAGGGTATTTAGTACCCAAACCTAATTATATATAGTGGTTGCCCACTTTTAATAATACTCGATTATAAATAGGGTTAGGGACTGGTTTGCGTTTTGAACTTGGGGTATCTGACCCCTATTCCTGTGAACCAAACGAGACCCTAATAATCTTTCACTTTTTTTGTGTTGGTGATAGTTTTATTTTCTCAAAAGCAAACCCTAACGAAGGAAGAGTTTTGTCAGATGCCCTATCAATCTATGAGAAGGCCTTGGGTTAGAAGGTGAATTATTCAAAACCTGAGATCTTCTGTAGTTCTAATCTTCACCCTAGACTTGAAAAAATCATGGTAAATGCTCTCTACTTTAAAAAGGTTGAAAATCCTTCTAACTTTGGTGGGAAAAAAAGTCAACTTTTTTTACTTTTTAAAAGATAGAGTTACAAACAAGGTTAACAGGTGGAGAGGTTCTCTTCTTTCCCAAATAGGTAAGGAGGTCTTACTAAAATCAATTATCTTGACTATCCCCACCCACTAGCACTATATGTCTTGTTTCTTGATCCTGAAGACAATTTGTGATGGTTTAGTGAAAATCCAAAGGAGGGATATTGAGAATCAAAAGAAAATTAACCAGATGGATTTCTTGGTTTCAAATTAGCAAAATCAAAGTTGATGGAGCTTAGGTTTGCATGACCCCCATTTCTTCAATCTGCCTTTGTTGGAAAAGCTGCCTTGGAGATTATGCTCTGATAACTGATTTAAACTTGCGGGAAAACCCTTGGATCCGAGGTTTAGGTCTTACGGACCAAGAAAATCTTGGACATTGACTTAATAGAATAGGATTGAGAGCATAAGCTCATTTGGGCTCCAAATGATAAGGACTTAGTCAGAGTTAAATCGAAAAATTCTATAGCAAAAAGCCTCCTCAAATGATGCTGGCTCTATTTTCAATGGTTCTGATCTGGTTTAGGGGAAAAGGCATGGACAATCTTGTGGTACCTTTTTAGTTGAGCCAAAAATCAAGCATTTCTTGTGGAGGTGTATCCACAATGGCCTTTGCAATTAATGCCGACCTCTTTATGAAGAAAAGCAATAGTTCAACAACTTGTGGTAGATGCTTTCATCAAGAAGAATCTCGCAGGCATGTTCTTTGCCATTGCGACAAAGCAAGATGCATCTAGGTAGGAGCTAGAATAGGTCATAGACTACCGTGAAT